CGCATCATGTATCTCAGTGTACATCAAGTAAGCTACATACCATTGAGAATCTTTTTAAAAATCTCACCCTCTATCATCTTGTATTGAATAATTATATTTCAATAAAAGTTTCTGTTTCTTATAAAGAAAAAATAAAAAGGCAAAGAGGAAAATTTTAATGAACCAATTTTTATTTAATAAATAATGAAAAATTTGTGTACAAGTATTTGTATGAAAAAGGAACTTCTTAATAAATTTGGTTTTATATGTCCTTCAAGCGTTGGTTACATTGCCAGTCAAAAAGGAGATACAATAAAGCAAAGAGCAGATTTGTTATTAGAAGCTATTAAGGCCTCGTTCATTTTACCGATTCGAGTTTAGAATTCGAGTTTTGCTACAGTAAAAAGCTCTTAAAAATAATTACATCTAACTTTTTTGCTACAGTAAAAAGCTCTCACATAAAGTCACATCTCAACTCGAATTAAAAATTTGAATCAGTGAACTAAACGAGCCCTAAGAATGCTCCAAACGGAAAACTTTATCTTCCACCCTATAATGGAGGGTAAGGACTTCGCCACACTTGTGTTGACTTTTTGCTAAACAAACTATTAACTTTATCTTATCTTTCACGCACATAGCGCACATTGGATGTTGGTTCACCGATTCGAGTTTAGAATTCGAGTTTTGTTACAGTAAAAAGCTCTTAAAAATAATTACATCTAACTTTTTTGCTACAGTAAAAAGCTCTCACATAAAGTCACATCTCAACTCGAATTAAAAATTTGAATAAGCGAACTAAACGAGCCCTAAGAATGCTCCAAACGGAAAACTTTATCTTCCACCCTATAATGGAGGGTAAGGACTTCGCCACACTTGTGTTGACTTTTTGCTAAGCAAACTATTAACTTTATCTTATCTTTCACGCACATAGCGCACATTGGATGTTGGTTCACCGATTCGAGTTTAGAATTCGAGTTTTATTACAGTCAAAAGCTCTTAAAAATAATCACATCTAACTTTTTTGCTACAGTAAAAAGCTCTCACATAAAGTCACATCTCAACTCAAATTAAAAATTTGAATCAGTGAACTAAACGGGCCCTAAAAATGCTCCAAAAGGAAAACTTTATCTTCCACCCTATAATGGAGGGTAAGGACTTCGCCATACTTGTGTTGACTTTTTGCTAAACAAACTATTAACTTTATCTTATCTTTTACGCACATAGCGCACATTGGATGTTGGTTCATCGATTCGAGTTTAGAATTCGAGTTTTGTTACAGTAAAAAGCTCTTAAAAACAATCACATCTAACTTTTTTGCTACAGTAAAAAGCTCTCACATAAAGTCACATCTCAACTCAAATTAAAAATTTGAATCAGTGAACTAAACGGGCCCTAAAAATGCTCCAAAAGGAAAACTTTATCTTCCACCCTATAATGGAGGGTAAGGACTTCGCCATACTTGTGTTGACTTTTTGCTAAACAAACTATTAACTTTATCTTATCTTTTACGCACATAGCGCACATTGGATGTTGGTTCATCGATTCGAGTTTAGAATTCGAGTTTTGTTACAGTAAAAAGCTCTTAAAAACAATCACATCTAACTTTTTTGCTACAGTAAAAAGCTCTCACATAAAGTCACATCTCAACTCAAATTAAAAATTTGAATCAGCGAACTAAACGGGCCCTAAAAATGCTCCAAAAGGAAAACTTTATCTTCCACCCTATAATGGAGGGTAAGGACTTCGCCACACTTGTGTTGACTTTTTGCTAAACAAACTATTAACTTTATCTTATCTTTCACGCACATAGCGCACATTGGATGTTGGTTCATCGATTCGAGTTTAGAATTCGAGTTTTGTTACAGTAAAAAGCTCTTAAAAATAATCACATCTAACTTTTTTGCTACAGTAAAAAGCTCTCACATAAAGTCACATCTCAACTCAAATTAAAAATTTGAATCAGCGAACTAAACGGGCCCTAAAAATGCTCCAAAAGGAAAACTTTATCTTCCACCCTATAATGGAGGGTAAGGACTTCGCCACACTTGTGTTGACTTTTTGCTAAACAAACTATTAACTTTATCTTATCTTTCACGCACATAGCGCACATTGGATGTTGGTTCATCGATTCGAGTTTAGAATTCGAGTTTTGTTACAGTAAAAAGCTCTTAAAAACAATCACATCTAACTTTTTTGCTACAGTAAAAAGCTCTCACATAAAGTCACATCTCAACTCAAATTAAAAATTTGAATCAGCGAACTAAACGGGCCCTAAAAATGCTCCAAAAGGAAAACTTTATCTTCCACCCTATAATGGAGGGTAAGGACTTCGCCACACTTGTGTTGATTTTTTGCTAAACAAACTATTAACTTTATCTTTTCTTTCACGCACATAGCGCACATTGGATGTTGGAGGGATGAAGTGTATTGGATGGACCCCATTCGAGATGACATTAAACCAAATTAAGCTCAATAATATGCAGGGCTATAATTGGATGAAATGTGGTGCGGCTATAAGTTTCTAAGCTCAATAATTTTAAACCAAATTAACTTTAATATATTTCAACTTATGTGTATTATATGTAGGGCTCTTGCCAATTTCAAGTTATTAAAGAAAAGGAGTGAAATTTTACCGCCATGTGTCTACAAAATGGATAGTTATGCAAGCTCCAGAACAACCTAGGAATACCGAGTGTGGGTTTTATGTAATGAAATATATGGATGATACAAAGTGAATGGGCAAAATCTGTGTAAAAATCGATATGGCCCTAAGCAGGAGCATGAAATGGATCAAGAAAGGTACTTATTTGTACTTTTCGTTGGTAAGTTGAATTAGTTTTTTTTTTTTTTTTTCAATTATTTTCTTTAAGAACGCTACTAACATGAAATATAAATTTAAAAGTTGTTGTTGTTGTTTTTTTTTTTTTTTTTTTTTTTTTTTTTTTTTTTTTTTTCCTTTCCTATTGTGTAGAGACTTTAGTCACCGTGCAATTGTAGGATTCCAACATAGAGAAGCTTTCATAATACACAACATGGAAAATCTAGTTTCCCTTTTAGGTCTAATTTTTTGATAATATGTGTTATTGAGATATTTGTGGATCAGTGGGCATGTGCATAAGGTCATCTCCTGCTTTTAATTTATTTTTTTACAAAAATATAAAACTATACACGACTGTTGTTAATATAAAAACAGTCTTCTAAAGTGACAATAGAGGATGGTCTTTTGTACTAAAGATGATAGTTGAATTCGTAGGTTGCCAGAAAAACAGATAAATAGAGGACGGTTTCAAGTAGAACCGTCCTCTAATGTTACGTTATAGAGGACGATTATGAACCGTCCTCTATAGGCTTGTGGAATAGACGACAGGCGCAAGAGGGCGGTTCACAAACCGTCGTCAATAGCTTAATGAAACAGTCCTCTATCTTCTTTTGTAGTAGTGCTACTAAATAGTAGGACACCGAGTGAGTAAAATGTTCACCTACAACACATGCTTGTATATTCATATTTTAAATGCATAAGTCACAATATTTTCAGTTGCTACAGAATCTTTGAGCACTTTTACCATGATTTAAGAATAAATAGTGTGTTATGCTTATCGCTGTCCCAGACTCTCTGTTTATTTGCATAGAACTAGAACTCATAATGTATTATTTGTGCACAAAAAACCCCTAAAGACAAGGAAATTCCAACAGAACCTATGAGATTGAGAATTCTCAGGCGTTAGAACAAAGAAAACACATAAGCATATGAGACCACACCTTAGAACTTTCGTGAAAGTAAAATTCTTCAGAGCCAGTAAAGAAATTCGTATGCATGTAAACGTACGGTTTACGTACTAAGTTTATCTCACAAGACTTAGCATGTGTTGTAATTGAATAGAAGGAAAACAGATATAAAAGCAGTCGACATCGAGGTCAGAAGTAAAAGAAAGGGGAAATTTTTGTCATACTGAAATGCTTGATCCTGGCTATGTAACCATATGTACAAATACCATAATGAAATAAAATAAGATTACTTTTCATGCACATGTCTTTACTTTTAAAGATTAAATTATTTTGTATTTTTACTAAGTTTAGTAGTAGCATTCGTCAAAATTACTAGGATATTTATTATGCCAGATTAAAAGTCTTCCTCTGTAAACCTAGTAATTTTGGGGATGTTATTATATATTTAGAGATAATGTTAGGAACACCAACTCAAATCTTAACTCTTGTATACCAACTGATGTGTCACATTATCTATCATCTTTTTATTGATAGATGCAATTTCTTATTATTAATTGACGTGATAATGTCCCACCAATATAAAAAGAGTAATGTTAGACACCAACTCATATCTCAACTTTTGTGTACTAACTTATGTTCAACTGATGTGTCACATAAGCTATCATCTTTTTATTGATAGATGCAATTTCTTATTATTAATTGACGTGATAATGTCCCACCAATATAAAAAGTGTAATGTTAGACACCAACTCATATCTCAACTTTTGTGTACTAACTTATGTAGCATGTAAGTTGTCTTTTTTTTTTTTTATTGGTATGTATAATCTCTTATCATTAATTGATGTTTCAAACATCCACTAATACAAAAATGACAACTCACATACCAGATCAGTTAGTATACAAGAATTGAGATTAGAGTTAGTGTCCATAATATTATTCATATAAAAATAACAACTCACATATGATCACATCAATTGATATAAAAATTACAAAAGTTAGATATTTAAATTAGTGTCCAGCATTATTCTTTTTTAAATAGGTAAATTGAGAGGAAAACAAAAAAACAAAAAAGAAAAGTTAGGTATCTCAAAATCTCTGCGGGGTTACGGAGATCACGCCAACCTAATAAAAAAATTCATTGTCTGAGCAAGCACGAAATGTGTACAGCTCAATGAGACAACTGCTTGCTTCTAATTATTTGACTTGTATTTTTTATTTTTTGGTTTTTGTTTTTCCCTAGTCTTAATCAGTGAGTAAGATGAGCTATTCTGAATTGTGAACGATCATGAAATCTTTATATATATAGTGTTGTCACTGTACAATCATAATTTCACAATCAAAAGCATACTAGTGTACAGATATGGAACTCTTCCTCCAATTTCTTCTCTTCTCTATACCTATTTTCTTTCTCTTCATCCGACCATTTATCCTTAGAAAATCCGATACCAAGAGACTTCCTCCTGGTCCAAGAGGCATCCCAATACTAGGGAACCTCCTTCAACTAGGGCCAAGACCTCATGAGTCTCTCCACGAGATGGCCAAGCTCTACGGCCCCCTCATGACACTCCGCCTCGGCTCCGTCACCACCGTCGTCGCCTCCTCCCCGGACATGGCCCGCGAGCTCCTCCACAACCACGACCAGGTCTTCGCCAACCGCCCCATCCCTGACTCCGTCACTGCGCAGCCCAACCACCAAGGAACCCTAGCTTGGGTCCCCGGCGACCACCGCTGGCGCAACCGCCGCCGCATCTGCAGCTCCCAGTTGTTCACCGCCCAGCGGCTCGACATCCTCCAGCACTTCCGCCACCGGAAGGTCGAGCAGGTCCTCGGGCACATACGCAAACACTGTGACGCCGCGACGCCGGTCGACATCGGCTCGCTGTCCTTCGCGGCGACTCTCAACCTGATGTCGAACACGATTTTCTCCGTCGACATCATCGACGCGGAGTTCGGTACGGCACAGGAGTTCAAGGATGTGGTCTGGAGCATCATGGAGTACGCCGGGAAGCCGAACCTTTCGGACTATTTTCCGGCGCTGAAGAGGTTTGATCTGCAAAGGGTGAAGCTTAGCGTTAGGGTTTCGTATCTGAGATTGCATGAGATATTTGACGAGATTATTGCCCAGCGCTTGGAAGCTAGAGAGAAAGATAAGAAGAGCAGGCATGAAGATTTCTTGGACGTACTTCTTGATCAGAGCGATGAAAATAGCCCTGAAGCCATTAAACCCGTTATTATGGTGAGGACTTTTCTCGATCTCGATCTTTGATTTTTTTTTTGTTTTTTGTTTTTTTTGTATAATAGTACTATAGATAGAGATATCCAAACTGATTACATCTTGAAAAATATCTGGGAAAAGGTGCCCAACAAATGAACAAAAAGTCGTGCTTACGGGAAAGTTCCAAAATTTGTTTGTTTGCTGATCAATGATCATGGGAAAACGTGATGTGATTTATAGCCTTGAGGACCTGTTTGATATATGAATCAAAATAAAGTTTTTTTATTATAATTTTTGAACTTATTGCCGCGTTTAAAATTATTTTTATTTTTATTTTTTATGTTTTTTAAGAAAAAAAATAAAAAATTTTTAAAATAATATTTGATATAATTAAAAATATAAATAATTTTTTAATATAAAATAAAAAATAAAAAATAATTTTTTATTTTTTATTTTTTATTTTTATTTTCTCTTCTTCTACTTTACCCGATCATCATGTACAACCGTTTGGGGGAATATGTCATGATGCCCACATAATTTCTTCCTATGTCTGTCGACTCATCATACTTTATTTTTTGTAATTTCATTTTTACTTATTAAAGTTTTCTAGGAAAAGAAATATACGGAACAAATTCTCTAAAAAAAAAAACGGAACATACAATATCAAAATAAAAACAATTGGAAGATACAATTTTTATTTAATTGTAAATGCATTATATCATATACGCCTTTTCTTTTCTTTTCTTTTCCTTTTTAAAGATCTATTCCTTCAAAAATTCTTTCTTTGATTTGGGCAGATCCTCATGGATATAGATTTTTCTTTCGTTATTTATTTATTTATTTATTTATTATTTTTTTTTTTTGTGTATGTGCAGATTTTTCTTTGCCCTAGTTACGTTTGAGAGTTACTGTAATTTTCTTTCTATGGATTCTTGTATTAATTTTTCTTTTTATTTAATAAGACCGAGTGAAAGGGCTTGATAAAAGAGGGGTTTCTAAAGTGATTGTCAACCTTTTTAGGTGTGCTTTAGTTTTTTTAATATACTAAGGGCCCGTTCACTTCGCTGATTCGAGTTTGTAATTCGAGTTGAGATGTGATTTTGTGTGAGAGCTTTTTACTGTAGCAAAAAAGTTAGATGTGACTGTTTCTAAGAGCTTTTTACTGTAACAAAACTCGAATTCTAAACTCAAATCGGCGAAATGAACGAGGCCTAATTATCCTCTCTTTTCATTTATTAAAACAAACATTTTACATAAGTACTATGATATTATTCTTTTCATAGTATCAGTGGAAAATATAACTAGATGTACTCTAGATCATTTGAGCAAAATATTGCTTCTTTTATGGGCATTCTTGTAACTTGGTTGCAGAAAGCTATGTGACAAATAATTAATATGTTGTATGAAAAAATATACACACAGATGCACATAGTATTTGAAAAGCAAACACCAGCTGTTAATTCATTAATTATTTATTAGCCCCCCAGCTGTCAGACCATTGGCATAGTTCTGGTTATATTGTCAATATATTGACCGTAAATAATGTCAAAAACCACCATTGCAATTCCAGGATTTATTCATCGCCGGCAGCGACACCTCCGGATCAACGACGGAATGGGCAATGGCGGAGGTCCTTCGAAAACCCAAAGTTTTGCAAAAAGCACAGAAAGAACTCGAGGAAGTTATCGGCAGTAGTACTCAACAACGCATCAAAGAATCCGACATAGATCGTCTCCCATACATCCAAGCAATAGTAAAAGAAACCTTGCGTCTTCACCCGGCTGCTCCACTTCTGTTGCCCTACATCGCCGCAAACGACGTCGTCGTGAACGGTTACACAATCCAGAAGGGAAACCAGCTTCTCGTCAACGCCTGGTCTATAGGGAGAAACCCTAAGTACTGGCAGGATCCATTGACGTTTTCGCCGGAGAGATTCTTGGGGTCAAGCGTGGATTACAGAGGGAGGGATTTCGAGTATATCCCGTTTGGTGCCGGTCGGAGGATTTGTCCCGGTTTGCCTTTGGCTAACCGGATGGTTACCTTGCTTTTGGCTTCTCTTCTCCATTCGTTTGATTGGAAGCTTCCAGAAGGAATCACTTCCGAGAATCTTGACATGACCGAGCAGTTTGGAATCACGTTGAAGAAAGCCATTCCACTTTGTGCAGTTCCCTTGGTAAAGAACTCGTCGTAGTTCATCCAGTACTGCGAGATGCTACAGGATTCGGCTCACAGCATGACTAGTGTTCTCGAATAATATCTTGTCATCAGTTACAATAATATTTTAATATCGTGTCATCAGTTATAATAATATTTTAATTGACTGATATGATATTATTAGAAGGATATGAAAAGAGAAGAACAAAGGTGCATCCGACGACATAGTCCTGGTCCCTTAAAAATAATATACATTTGTATTGTGCTATTTGTATGGTTCACTCGAGACTCGAATAAGTAATACTTCGTTAAGGTTTATGTACTCTAGTAGAAATAATGTGGACTTGATCTATTTGATTTGTATGTTTTCGACTGCAATCTATTTAACGTCATATATGCGTAGTGTTCTGTGTTTTTTTTTTTTTTTTTTTTTTTTTTTGAGTGTGATTATTTGTTTTATAATTTTTACAGCTTCGATAAATAGAAGAAAAAATAAGCTTCGAATAAGAAGAAGAATAAATGTTAACTATCTAGCTAGAATACTCTTTATATATCATGATCACATGGGACATGTTGAGGTTTAGATTTCGTACCTTATCTTTCATTGTACACGTACTAATTTAGGTTTCAGAATGTCACTAAATGAGTCACCGCTACTCCCCAAGCGGGTAGAATTGACTGCTCGACTAATCAACTCCACTAATCGATCCCACGAGTCGATGGATAGCCTTGGACATCAAGTCACGAGAGAATATCCCCAAGACATTCCTTATACTGGATTTGACAACAGAATTAGCTAGAAAAAGAAAGAAATAAACTGCTCCAGCAAGAAGAATTAGAAAGGAAAAAGGTCAATGGTTGATTTAGGCTGCAAGCAACCCTCTCAATGGATGAAATTGATTGTCTTCCACATAACGAAACTATGTCCCCAGCATTTAGGCAATAAGGAGGCCGGGTCAACTCAAAATAAGAAAGAAACTATGATTGATCAGTCGATTATGGACACAACCAGTTAAGGAAAGACATACAGTGCCTAGAAAGGAAAGGAATATCTAGAATTGAAGGTCATATCATGCAGAGAATCAAAAAATAACTCGTGTAACCTCATCAACTATAAATACAAGGCATTTTAGCATAGTTCGGCATGCTTCCACAACACACAAAAACTCTCACGCTCATTTCTAGAAGACTTTTCATTTGTTACTGTATTTTCCAACATATATTTCTCTCTCATCTCGTTCTTCTTAGAGTGACTCATTGTAATACTTTTCAATAGTCAGAGTGAAACTATTAGAGCCTTACAGTGGACGTACCCTGCATTATTAAAAGAACCACTATAATTCATTGTGTCTTTTTACTGCTTTCATTTACTTTCACGTTTACTAACGCTTTCGTTCTCACAGCGGGTCAATTTCATCAATTGACGACTTCTAACTCAGTCATTGACCCTTGATTTAATTAATTGTAAATTTTACCCTCTACATGACATAATTACAATAACAGGTCAAGTTTCTCGATAGGATAACGTAGGTCCACAAATTCCATTATTATATGCTTGCGTTGAACGAATCATTCGTCAAAGTTATGTGTACCTACTGCGATGATGCAGAGCTCTAACTTGTAACTATTATTAAGAATACTATTAAGAATACTTTGAAAATGACACTTATAAATTTGGTTGCCCTAACATTTTTTTGTAAAAAGAAAATGTTGTTTTTGCGGTTAGTTAAAAGTAGAGAAAACACAGTGGGTAAGAAACCGAAACCTTTTACTAGAGTTCTCTCATTGACTTTTCATCTCCCTCCTCTCTCTCTCTGTTAGGTTTTTGTTGAATGTTGATGCTTTTTAGAAACCGAAAACACAGTGACTTTTCATCTCCCTCCTCTCTCTCTCTCTCTCTCTGGATTTTGACACTTGTGTTTCATCTCTATACTTTAACTTTCTTTATTGGTCGATCCTGTCAATATTCGGAGTCGAATTCTCATATAGTTAGTGGTCATCTGCAACTAACTTTGAGTATGTAATTTGTTTTTTTTGTGAAATGATTGTTTTGCCTTTATATAATAATAATAATAATAATGATGATGATGATGATAATAATAATAATAATAATAATAAGTGAGTCAAAGAGGTGTATTATTTTCACATGATGAATATAACTCTCACAATATTAAGGACGAACCATTATATATCTTATGGTTCTTATTATTTTTTATTTTTCTGCAGTTATATTACTCTCATTAGTAGAGAATTAGTAGCGTTACTCTTTTTATCACTCTCTTTGACACTTTTTGAATTTATTGTTTGACATGTAAACTCTCCTAGCATGATATATTATTATTTTAATAAAAAATGAGATGATGAAATTCACGTAACAAAAAGAGTTGATTTAGCATTTCTCTTCTTAATCTTCCTTGAAAAAGAGGAAGAAAAAAAAATAACAAAAAGAAGTAAATTCCGTTAATATAACCACTTGTGCCCTGCCTGATGGTGTTTTTCACCTATACTACCAACTTTGGAACCTTTGCTTATTGAAAGAAGGGGGAAAGAAAAAGGAAAAAAAATTATAAAATTATAAAAAGGAACCTTTGACTTTTTGGATTATAAATATTTAAAAATTTGGAAAACTATGGTAACAAATTAAGGATTTATACAATTAAAAGCCATATCATTATTTAAAGAGTTAATTAAATTAAAGATGGTTCTTTTTATAAATGGTGGTTCTATTTGTACACCTTTTTTTACTTTCCACACCTCTTTTAAATTAATATTCCTAATGATAAAAAGACTATCACCTAAATGACAAAAAAAAAAAGATAATCATCATGACTTAATTACTTAATTAAATTTTATTATAAAAGAAAGTTAATTATATTTTTTTATTTCAACATGCCCCACATATTATATCCAAAATTTATGTTTTTTTTACTAATTATTTTGGTTTTTAAAGGATAATCATTTCATAATGTTGCATTATTTTTCTTATTCTTTCTATGTTTCATCTGTCTCTCTCTTTTTTATACTCTTTACAATTTTTTTTTCCAATTTTATCATTTTTTATCAATGCCTCACCTGATCTGTCGATTATGTTGTCATTATGCATATATTTATGTCCATTATTTTTTTTTAGAAAAAGTGTAATAATAGATTTTCTTTACGTATTAGAAAAGATTTCATAATCAAAACTTCTAAAAAATGGAGAGATAAATAAATAATAATATTAAAATAATAATTAATATAAAATGATGGATGTGAAAAGAAAAACAGAATCTAATTTTATAAAAATAATTATGGATAATCTTAGAATAATGAGGGTGTATAAAAAAATAAATTTAATTCTTTCAAAATTAAAGAGAAAAAAAAAAAAAAACATCAAAATAAATTTGTTGGACTGTCAAAGATAGATAGATATGGATGCCTATGAAAAAAAATTTCTCATGGCCAAGATTCCAGCGAGCAGGGGAAACAAGAGAAGGGAAGGAAGAGACTTTCTAATTTGGATTTTAAAATTTGATTTGAGATAATTTTGCTAAATTAGAGTTTGGAATTAAGAAAAACAGATGAATCAATATTTTTTTCTTTTTGTTCAAATAAGAAAAAACGTGGATGTGATTTGATAAGTTAATGTGGTGTTATCACCTCTAAAAAACGTGTCGTTTCATGTTTTTTCCAATTAAATTTAGTATTTCTGGTATGTAAACTAGCCTTGTCTGCAATGGGGATTTTCTCGTGAAGACTTGAAAAGTAGGTCCCACGGAGTAGGGGTGTAAAAATTGAGCCCGAACCTGAGTAACCCGCCCGACCCGACCCGAAAGCTAAGTTTTTTTTTTTTTTTTTAAAATTCGGATTAAATTAGTCCCAACCCGCACTGTGCGGGTTAGGGGGTGGGGCGGTCATTTTTGTACCCGATTACACTGACCCGACCCGTTGTGTAAGTGTAACCCTAATTCCTTCGTCTCTTCGCTGGCCTCCCTCAGTCCCTCTCACTCTCATCGTCTCTTTGTCTCACTCTCAGTCTCTCGCCTCCCTTCTCCTATGTCTGTCGCCTCCTTCCTCCTCTGATCTTTACCGTAAAACCTATCTTGTTAGTAATCATGAAATCGATCTTAGAAAAAATGAGGAAGATGGCGCTGAGAGAAGTTTATGCTGTAGTGACCTTGACAGAATGGAAGCTCTTCCAGAGTCCTTGCCACGCCCTGTCTTGTCCATTTTCTTTTAACCATGTGCGGTTCTTACAATGGTTTGGAAACGAATGTGGTTTGGAATTTAGGGTTTAATACTTTGAAAACGAATGTGGTTTTTTTGAAAACGAATGCGGTTTTTAATGTAATTTTGATGCTGGTTTCTGCTTTTTTGTTTCCAGTTGAGGAAGAAGAGTGAAGACTGAAAAGGTATTTTCAATCTATACTTTGAAGACTGAAGAGGCAATTGAAAACATAAAGGTTAAGGTTATATGTGATATATTACGCTTAGTCTCAATTATATGTTATCTGTTTTTAGGTTAATTTGTGTGCTAGATGGAAAAATTTATCATCTAAGGGATACAAACTTCTGAAAGCACTAGCAAGTCCTCTGCTAAAACAGAAAGTGTCTCTATGCCTAAAGAGGCCATTACCTTGCCCACTCCCACACCCAGCCCTACTCATGTACCTAATTTGGGCACTAAAATTGAAAATGAAAAAGAGGAGGGAGACAGTAAAAAGAGGAGGAAGTCACAAAAAAAGTCTCCTGTTTGGGATCATTTCAAAATCATAAAGGGTGGGGATCCAAATGAGCCTAGGTGTAAGTGTATCTATTGTGGGGCAACATATGCGTGTGATAGTGTGAGAGATAATTGAATACAAAGGTCTCGTATGCTTAGATGTCCCTACTAGATGGAACTCCACCTATATGATGTTAGATGCAGCCATTAAGTTTTAAAAAGTTTTTGAAAGATATGAAGAGGAAGATGACAAGTTTGTGTCTTATTTTCGGGAAGATGAGGGGGGAAAACGGAAGATTGGCCCGCCACTTGATGATGATTGGAAGAATGTTAAGGTGTTTGTGAAATTTCTGAAGACTTTTTATGATATAACTTTAAAGTTTAGTGCCAGTTTGAATGTCACTTCAAATCTTACTTTTATGAGCTTTGTGAGATGCAAAACCAACTATCTGATTTAAGCAAACATGAGGATTCAATGCTTTCATCCATGGCTGTGAGTATGAAAAGAAGTATGACAAGTATTGGGAGAATGTTGAAAATATAAATTGTCTTCTCTTTGTGGCTGTTGTACTTGATCCTAGGTACAAAATGGATTATTTGACATATTGTTTCTCTATAGTGTATGATTCTTGCACTTCTGAAACATTAGCAAAGAATGTGAAAGATACTATGTATTGGCTGCATG